AGATTTACACAAGGCTTTGTCATTTGTGTTATCTATATTTTCATGTGTTTAAATCATAAAATTCCAATTGGGAAATGTATGGGTTTTTCTTTTTTTAAATATTTTATAAGGGTAGTGAGGCTGTAGCTGCCTCTTCCCGTATCAGATACATCTCTCCCCATTTATCAATGTTTTTTAATTGATCTTTATTCCTTTGGAGACTGGGTGAGACAGTCAGCTGATCTGGGTTGTTTGTTTTTTTGACTGAGGGAACAAATCCTCTCCTTTTTCACTACTTTGTTTCAATCCCTCCTTTTACCAAAAAAAAAAAGATAAAATATGTAAGCCTGTTGTTTCTGTTCCTAAATGATTAAATGATGCAACCCTGGATGTTGAGTTAAAAAGAACTTTTGGATTTTTTTTCCTATGGTGAATAGTTTGCTTGTTGATATAAGAAGCAAGGCAACAGTTGGTAGAAAACTTTTTCTCTCTCCCTTTCTCTAGAACTATGATTTATTAAGTCTGTTGTAAAATGGTCTTCAGAAATGCCAATAAAAACATTGCTAAACTCTATTGTGTTAGATGATTTTCTTCCCTACCGAAAGATTTCTTTAGTAGTTATTATTGACAACCAAACCTGTTTCCATTCTGCTTAGTGACTTTATGTACAATTTGGGGAGCTTCGTGAGTTCAATATCTTCAGGGGTTTTGTTATGATTAGGAAACTTCCTTTTCTATTAGTTGTGAAGTAACAGTCAAATATTTACAAGCATCTTTTGACTAACTGCAATCAACTTCTAAGCTCATAGAACAATTTCAAAGTGGTTTAGAAACCACTTTGAAATAGCTAAAAAAATATATAAAGGGTTAAAGTGGAATATGATCTAGAAACTATTGACAAAAAATACATTTTAACTGAAAAATAGAAAATTAGTTAAACTGGAATGAAAATGTGTGCCTCATCTTTACAGTCTAGAACAATTTCACACTGACTGAGTCAATGGGGCATACAACTTGGAAGCTATTGAAGAAAACATATTTAATATTATAATTATTTGAAAATTTTGGATATGACTTTAAAATTTAATAAAGGATATTATGTAATAGCAGAAATTACCACTTTTTTGTGTAAGGTGTGGCTTGTGGAGGGAGTGGTAGAGAACAGCTGGCCGAAATTAGCACACGAATATAGAATATCCAACTTGAAACTAACTTCAGTGCAATGAAAAACCCTGTGTGTAATATCAACATTATGCTGAGGCATTTGAATATGATTCTGTTTTAGATGGTTGAGGCAGACCATATTACAAGAAAGCAGAAAGACCAAGGATAGCTGTCTTTTTAAGTATGTCTTAGGTTAGCCGTTTGGACTTTCTTTCACAAACTTCTGATAGGTTAATATTTGGGCTAATTGGAGTCACATCTGTGGATACATTTTTAAGACTGTCTTTCTTGTTTGACACAATGGGAAACTCAAAAGAAATCTGGAGAGAGGAAGAGAATTACACAGCTGCACAAGTCTGGTTCATCTTTACAAACAATTTACTAGTACTTGAAATACCTGAGGGCTGCACAGTGGCGCAGTGGGTAGCACTGTGCAGCAAGAAGGTCCTGGGTTCGATTCCCAGCCCGGGGTCTTTCTGCACGGAGTTTGCATGTTCTCCCTGTGCATGGTGGGTTCTCTCTGGATTCTCCGGCTTCCTCCCACAGTCCAAAAATGACTGTCAGGTTAATTGGTCTCTCTAAATTCTCCTTAGGTGTGAGTGTGTGTGCATGGTTGTTTGTCCTGTTTGTCTCTCTGTGTTGCCCTGCGACAGACTGGTGACCTGTCCAGGGTGAACCCCGCCTCTCGCCCGGAACGCAGCTGGAGATAGACACCATTAACTCCCGACCCCGTTAGGGACAAGGGTGCTCAGAAAATGGATGGATGGATGAATTACCTGAAGGTTCCACATTCATCAGTTCAAATAATTATATGAAAGTATGGACAAAATGTGCAGCCTGACCAAAGCCAAAGTACCAGTACTTTGCTGGCTGAAGCTGGTAATACTGAAAGGACTTTAATCTTTACTTCAAGATAAACAGAAAAGGCAAGGTAAGTTACACTTTGTAAATAATGAAATCAAAGTAGGACTATGATTTCCTTTTGCAGCTAAAGACCAAACGTTAGCTGCAAAAGGAGCTGATATACTTGATAAAATAGATGGCATCCTGGGGATAGATCATAATGTAGGAATATTGAAGTAACATCTGAAGACATTTAAACAGGAAGTAAATGAACAGATTCTATTCACATTCTATTGTTATTGCTAGACAATAAACAAAGTACTTACAAAATGGCTTAAGGACAACAGTCAATGTCTTTATGTGGCTACAACAAAGTTTTCATCTCTGTCCAGTGGAGAAGTTGTGGGTAGATTTGAAGAGACGTGTGAGCGAAGCGTCCTACAAAATGAACTCAGTCTGTCAGGAGAAATGAGCCAGAACTCTAGCAAACTATTGAAAGAAACTTCTGGAAGGAAACCCAAAAGATTTGACCAGTCATACAGTTCAAAATACAGTTATCCCTGATTCTGACCAAATTTATGTGAACTTTTGAATTTGCTTTAATTTTACATCCCTAAAACAGAAGAGACGTAAAAATAAATCATGCTAATTGAAAATAAATAAAATCGTACATAAATAATCTCCAGAGAAAACCTTTCATTTTAATTACATGTTCCCTAGATTTATATTTATATTATTCATATTATGTCTGACATCGTTTTAAACTATATCAGATACTTATGTGTTATGTATTTCCCAGGCAGCCTGGGCCTTTTTATAGCACAATCAAGTAAGTAACTGTTACTGTAAGTTGCAGGACAGGTGCTGGTCAAAAAATTTGAAAAAGTTGATTTAAATCATTAATTCCAATAAAAATATGAAACCTGTACATTCTAGTATTTGTTACACACAGACTGATATATTTCAAATGTTTATTTCTTTCAATGTTGATGATTAGAATGGACAACTAATGAAAAGCCCAAATTCGGTATCTCAGAAAATTACAGTATTACTTAAGACCAATGCAAATAAATTATTTTTAGAAATATTGGCCAACTGAAAATTTTGAAAAGTATGAGTATGAGTACTCAGTTGGGGCTCCTTTTCTCCAGATTACTACAGCAAAGCAGCATGATGTGGAGCTGATCAGTCTGTGGCACTGCTCAGATGTTCTGAGAGCCCAGGTTGCTCTGATAGTGACCTTTAGCTCTTCTGAATTGTTGGGTTCCTCTTCACTAAATGCCATCGATTTTCTTTGGGATTAGTCAGGCAGGTTTGTTGGCCAATTAGGAACAAGGATTCCATGATCCTTAAGCCAGGTACTGGTATTTTGGCACGGTCTGCAGGTACCAAGTCATGTTGGAAAATTAAATCTGCATCTCCATAAAGTTGGTCAGTAGCAGAAAGCATAAAGTACCCTAACCCTAAAACCTCCTGGGAGATCACTGTGTTGACTTTGGACCTCACAGAAAACAGAGTTGGGGTGCCAACAGACGGCATGGCACCCCAAACCATCACTGATTGTGGCAACATTTTTTTTCCTGTCAAAGTATTGTAATTAGACAGGACTACTTTCCTAATGAGAGATGGGAAGACATGCAGCAAATGTTGCCAGGCTGGGAGTCAAACCTGCGACCACCATCATGATGACTAAAGCCTCAATACATAGGTTGTGCTTTACACCTGCGTCACCACAGACTGACTGAGGAAACTTTCACTGGACCTCAAGCAATGTGGATTCTGTGTGTCTCCTCTCCTCATCCAGACTCTGGGTCCTTGATTTCCAAAGGAAATGTAAGATTTACTTTAATCAGAAAATATAACTTAGGCAAGATGGTTTTGAAGCCATCTCTTGTTCAAAAGTGGTTTGACACAAGGGATGTGACAACATGTCTTGCATATGTTTGTGTGTGGTGGTTCTTGAAGCTTTGTGAATCTTCCCCACATTTTTAAATTAGTTTTCTCTCATGATCCTCTCGAGAATGTGTCCATTTTTTTCGACTTCTTTTCTTCCCTTGACCTCGCTATGAATGTGCTTGAACACAGAGCTCCGTAAACAGCCAGCTTCTTTAGCAATGATGTTTCTGACTTGCCCTCTTCTGCAAGGTGTCATAGTCCAGTTCTGTGGGTTTTACAATCACGACGATGGGATGACTGCTGTCCTTGGCAGTTGTCCAAAAAATGACCTGAGAGACAATTTAATAGCGTTTGCAGATGTTTTAAGTGAATTCGCTGATTAGTCCGTGGCACCCGGGGACTTCAGTATTCACAATTTTCTAATTTTCTGAGATATTAAATTTGGAGTTTTAACTTGTTGTCAGTAATAATCAGCAACAATAAAAGAAACAATTAAAGAAATTAACATCTGGAATATGTTATGCTATATTTTTATTGCTATGTAATAAAGAAATGTAATATACACATTTTACGTTTTGAATGGATTTATTGATTTAAATTATTTTTTTCTTGACATTCTAATTGTTTTGACCAGCACCTATTGTTTCTCTCACTCTCCCTTCAGTTTAAAAAGAGAAAGAAGACTGTGGCAGCATTTCAGGATCTTTCTCTTTCATGTCTTATATTAAGGCTGCAGTAGCTGTTCTACTTTTTTTTTTTTATATATTTGTAAAAATCCTCAAAAAAAAATAAAAAATCTCCGCTACACTTGCATAGTAGTACTGATGGTTTATCTGCCATCACTGAGGCAGGCAGAGAAACAGTTTTTCTGTAACAGTAAGTCAGTAGGACATTTAGCAGAAGAGATATCATTTGCAGAACAAATTAACAAATTTATAATGCACTGAAATTCTGCATTATTGAGAATGTTTGGAATCTTATATGAAAATGTATTTCATGTACAAATGGTCCATGACAAATCAGGTTTTATCACAAATTTGTTTTCATAGAGGTGATTCAGTTGTTATTGGTTTTTGATTTGGAAAAAATGGTGATGAGTAAACAGAGAAAAATATACATTATTTGAACAGTTTTGTTTATTTTGTCAGACAACCAAATAGATTAGATGTACAATTTGAAATGATTTGCAAGTAAAACATGAGGAGCAAACTTTGAGGAACTTTGTCTTTTTTAAAATATCTCACAGCTGTCAACTCTTTTTTTTTTTTACAGAGTTCAACTGAAGAGCACACACATATTAATTCCTTCTATTCTATTATTCATATTGGACATGGTGAGAAGCCTCGCCCCCAAGATCAGTATTTCCAGGAATCCCCCTTTCTCATGAGTGAAGGGATTCCTGGGAAAACTGGACCCCAGAGAAAAGGGTAAAGGAAAAACAAGGGACTATTCAAAATTCTAGTTTTGAGGCAAAAAAAAAGAAATAAAAGCTAACTTCTTATTTTATGAACTCAGCTGGAGCAATATAAAACAGAAACAAATGACAGAATGGTTGACAGAATATCCTTTCTAACTGCATGGATGCCAGATTCACTTTCTTCTTTCTTCTCTAGAGAAACATGTCATAGTCATGTCCCGCCAATCTTGATAGATGCTTCCTTCTTGTTATGGACATTCCTCAACAGCTCTGTCTGTCCTCCGTCCCGAGCTACAGTGCTTCATCTCAGACTACCAACTGACCAGAGATGCAGCACTGCACCATGGGCCACAGGGATGAGCTGCCAGTCAACAGATGCAGCACATTTATTTCAGGACAAAAAAACTACCTATGTGTATTAATTCATGTATTTATTCTCATGCAGTGAGGTATGAATTAAGACATTGATAAATTATATCATTTAATGTAATACTTCATTTCTCTTTGGAATCAAAAAAGTATTTTGAATTGAGTTGCACTGAAATGTGTGGAGAGATCACAGAGATGAGCTTCATTTCCAGGGGACCGACATGATTTCCCGTGTTGCTGTTTCTCCCTTGTAGAAAACACTTTGGAAGAAACAATAGGAAGCAGATATGAAGATATGGTGGCGTATGAAGACACAGGTTCTCCACTTCATTCTATAAGTAAGCAGAAAACAGAAAGTAAACTTTCTCTCATGTATGTTTCAAGTTGGAGCAGGAAGTGTTGCTCTTACACTTAACTACCTATTTTAACCTAATCAAGGCCAAAAACAAAACTTTAAAAATATTACTTTCTCCATCAGAAGAGTTCCATTTTTGTACAGATGTGAGTCCTTCATGTTGTCCTCTGAGTAGCTGCTGAAGCAATCCCCATCTTAACACCTTAGAGAAAACACAGCAGGAAGGAGTTTGCTGACTTTTCATCTGAAAAAGATTTTTGTTCCTTTAAGTGACTTTTATGGCCCAGTTCTGAGTGAATTTATATCAGCAAACTTGAGATAAGAAGTTACTAAATAAGAAAGAATTCATACTGGATTTTTCTTTCTCTTCTTTGGTAGAATTTCTTTCTATCCTTATATGGTAGTTTTTGCATTTTGAGGACCTTGGAAAAGGGATCGCAGCATCCGATAAACATTTGCTCTTCCAGACTGTGATTGCTTCCACTAACAGCCAGGCCCGCCCTCCTTCCCTCAGCTGAACTACATACATTCCCTTTTCAAGTCACAGAGTGGACATGCTGTTCAGGGAGCCTTTATCTTCCTATATTTGCTAAGAAGGAAAGAAGTTCACTGGACAGACCCCACAGATCTGTCTGGGAAATAAAAAAAAAACAATGCTATGTCTCTGCCATGTATGTTCAAAGTTGCTTTTGTTTCACCTAATATTTAGTTAAATAGTTCATTCAAGCAGGATTCTTCACTTGTTTATGTCATTCCAGTCTGGCTTTTCATATGAAAAAGACTTTTGTTCCTCTAAATGACTTTTATGGCCATTTAGAAAACATTATTGCAATTGCTTACAGTAACTTTACAGTTACAGTTGATCTGTATTGGTTTTCTTTTATTGTTAAGGAACATTTTTCTTCAACCACGGTCTGCACCATAGCTGGCAGATCAGTTAGTCCTTCTCCAGGCTGAACACAAGAGAAGTGAAGCATGCATAGTTAATGTTGAATCACCAGACAGACTGTATATATGAGAAGAAAGGATCTATAAAAGCATTTTCAGGAGGAAAGACTGGGAGGATACAATCAGATTGATTTCAGTCTCTCCTTTTTTGGCCACAGTTGGGAACGGTGTGTGTTTATGCAGACTGTGATAAGAGTCAGAGCCATCTCTCCTGCAAATCCAAACATTCCCTAATATGGTCAGCCTTTTCATTCCTTCTTGTTCCTTAAATCACGTGCAGGAAGCACACTGTTCTATGTTTTGTCAGACACTTTGCTTCAGCTCATTTCTCTCTTCTCCCTTTGAACACAGATCAAGAACAGTTTGGCATAGAAATCAGATTTAGTTGTTAATCTGTTTTATACCATAAATAGACATGATAAGAGGAAGATAAACCTGTATCAGCAGTCTAGTGGAAATATATCTTAACTGTTGCTGGTTTCTACTGGTGTTTCATTGGAAGGAAGTTGTTTGGATTCAGTCACATAATGGTATAGCCTAGAATGTTGCACACAACTCATACACAAACATGCTAAATGTTTTAAAACACATTTTTTGCATAAGTTGACTTTGACTGGAGTCCATTTGTATTAACCTTTCTCATTCCAGTATATTCTGCTCTGCACTTGCCCCTCCCCACCATGTGAAAATGATCCTGGGAATGGTAGTTCCTTAATCCCACTGGGGAAACAATGTCGAGGGTTATGGGAAAGCCTTTAGACAGCCTCCTTCAGGATTTTAGTAAATAAATACAGCACTTCCTTTCCTCTCTTCCATTTTCAGATTATTTCATTCCAGTCTGGTTTTTCATATATTTTAACACCTTCTGGCTGGTTAAGTTGTGGTGAGAGCTCACCTACTTAAATCCTCTAAAAGTGAAATACCTGATACTTTATAGAAAGAGACAGAACTTTCCAGTCATTTTGACCACACTCACAAACACTCAGCTTAACTTGGTGTTAAGCTGGAAATAACCCTACAACATTCTAATCATCAGACCCAATGAGTCACTTAACTTATGATTTCAAATGCATTGGAGAGCACACACCAAGTAAAGCTGCTTTACCATTCCATGTTGTAGCATGAAATGGTCCTACATTACAATTTGGGATCAGTGTCAACAATCAGAACATTCAGCAAAAGGATTATATGAGTGACAGACAAGGAGGATAGCATATCCCAAAAGAATTGTACTCAAGTAACTTCAGGATATTTTTACCCAGCATCCATCCAAGAAATAACTTCTTTGTTTGTGTTTTGGCTTTTATTAAAAGGCTACTAAAATACTGAGTAACAGATAAATTAATACTTTTATAAATTAAACTAAATAAAATTGTATTTGAATAGCTCCTTCAAAAATCTGAGTAAAACAGTGCAATAGTATAAACTCAAAATGCATACCACATGCAAAATATACTTGAAAGCAAATCTTTTTCTAAAATTAGCTTAATTGGAAAAAGCTTATTTTTTATATCTGAAATTTGCTTAAAAGAGATTTTGAAGAGGACATTTAAAGACACTAAGTTCAGATCATTCCACAAGATCCTGACTAGAAAAGCACAATCAGTTTTCAATCTGGAAGTAGATCATCTGGTGTAAGGAGTGAGAAGCTCAGAAATAGTCATTTTGATTTTAAAATGTTATTTTTCGAAAGAAAAAATACAATCTTAAATTCAAACTTTTCATCAATTTTAATTTGGTTATTTCATATTTTTATTATTTTATATTTCTTTAGAAAAAAATAAAATCTTAACACTGTTACATCACAGGTGACAAGTGCAAAGAAGCAAGTGTTGAAGTTCTCTACAGAGAACTCAAGCTGCTGTATTCTGGAGTAATTGGAGAGTATTGACAAGTATCTGTGTGTGTGTCTGTGTGTGTGTGTGTGTGTGTGTGTGTGTGTGTGTGTGTGTGTGTGTGTGTGTGTGTGTGTGTGTGTGTGTGGGTGTGTCTGTGTGTGTGTGTCTGTGTGTGTGTCTGTGTGTGTGTCTGTCTGTGTGTGTGTGTCTGTGTGCGTGTGTGTGTGTGTGTGTGTGTGTGTGTGTGCGTGTGTGTGTGCGTGTGTGTGTGTGTGTGTGTGTGTGTGTGTGTGTGTGTGTGTGTGTGTGTGTGTGTGTGTGTGTGTGCTGGAACACATACAGTTGAGATATTGTTTAAATTGCACAAAGGGCTCAGTCTAAGGAAAACAGCAAACCAACCCAGCTTGCTGCGTTGTTTTGCTGTGACACGAGCAAGCAGCAGTTCTTCTATTGGGTTAGGAGAATCTGAGAGCGTAAAGAGCTTTTTCATCTCTCACATAACCATGCCGACTAGATCTATCTAGATCATTTATTGCCCCTCCACTCCCTACCCACCCCAATCCAAAATAGACTGCCTATTTCTAAAAATGGAATTTAACGTAGTTTAAGCTTAAAACTCAAATGCTGACTTTCTGATTTCATTTGTGGAGAAATTGCTGTGGTCATACCTTAATGTTTTTCAGCAGAGGTTCCGCTGGATGTTTTCCTTTGAAACCGGCAAAAAAAGGCTTATGCGCTGTGGACTTTCTTCTAGTCTTCCAGTTGAAAACAACCATTATGATTTAGTAGATATACCTGAAAGTATGAGATGATTAAATAAATAAGAGATTTTATAAGTCTGAAGTTTAAGACCAAACAGAGGATTTCTCACCAGATTGCTGCTTTCTGATTTTTGCATGTGCCTCTTTTATGGAGCAGCTGGACCCCCAGTCCAAAGCATTCCACCATCTCCTTGTATGGATGTTAAAGGGTGGGATTTAGAACAGAAAAGGCCTCCTCTAGATTTGACTAGCAAGTTGCCATAATGAATGTAGCATAGTGGCATTTCAGGGAAACATAAGAACATTGCAGAGAAACTAAAGACGGAATAAACTATTTGGTAATGTCGTCTGTCTAAAATGAAGGGGGAAAAACTAATGAAATAAAAAGATCATAAAGGGAGACTTTGGAAAAGGAAGTAAAATAGAAGGGCAAAAATTGTGAAGAAAGGGGCGTGTTAGAAATGAGGATTTTATTGTAAGGACATCAGCTTGACCAGATTTGATCAATTCCTGCCTCTTCTAGTTGATGACGAACCTCTATGTAAAAGAAACTACAGATTTGTGCAAAAGCAGAGGTGATAGTGATCAATTAGATCTTCTTCAGTTTCAATACTATTCAACAATAATATTTAAGTTTGCAGTAGTTTTGCTGCAATGTGCTTATGCTTGAGTAATTGTATTCAGAAGCAAATTAAGCAAATTTGTGGCTATTCAACAAACTTCACTGAAAAAAGAAATTACAGGTTTTAACAAAATATTTACCAGAAATGGACACACATGCAATTTGTTAATCATCATAATAGTAATAATAATAATAATAACAGGGCTCCATACTGGCATATGTGGGTTTTTCTGCATGGAGAGTGTGCATGTTCTCCCTGTGCATAAATGGGTCCTCTCTGGGTACTCCACACTCCAAAAACAATCAACAAGACTGTTGATTGGTCTCTCTAAATTCTCCCTTGGTGTAAGTGTGTGCGCGTGGTTGTTTGTCCTGTCTGTCTCGGCGTTACCCTATCTATTGCTTAAAATGTAATATTTCTTCAGCCTAGATATATTTGTATACAAAAATACACAAATATATTTGTTTTATTTTAGCTAGGTTTTCAAATACCAGAAATTGCATATAACTTTGTCTGTCTGATTAAATAGTTATCTAAATGTTAGAAAACTATCGAGATTACACAATTACTCAGCACCAGAGCAGCTTTTTTCCTCAAATACTTTTTCACTGGAGTCAGTTCTCCTTTGTACTTTTACTTAAGTAAAACATATTAAAGTAAAGCTCCAATAAAAAGCAGTAAAGCAAAGTATGCATTTTTCATAGTGGCGTCTGTTCAGTTGGCAGACTCAACTAACTTCAAGAAGGGTTTACAGGTACTTACCACAAACGTAATGTCTTTTTCTTATTTCTCTTTAGTCTCTTATTTTCTGTTGTGTTTGCTTTAGTATCTCTGTGCTAATGCCATATAAGGGGCCTGATGGGACTTGCTCTAACACTCTGTTTGCTCTTTGGTTTGTCTCTTAATAAGGTCATGTTTGGGGATAAGTGACCATGTAAAGAAACTGACTGGTCTGAACTGCTAACAGTCGCAGTGAACTGTACACACATTTTCTATCTTCACAAGGAGTCAAAAAAGGTACAACTAATAGAGATACTGGCTATAAATTAATGCTGAAACCCCCAAGAACTGAGAATGTGGCTGTCTGTATTTTGGCTAACCAAAAAATAGTGAAATAAGTCCAAACCCTTATGAGAGAGATAAACTTAGCTATGGTGTACATAATATACTTCTTGCCCACGTTACTGGAGATTGGTACCAGATAAACCAGTATCTGGTGCTGAGGATGGATGAACGTGTGGCCGTGTATGTTGTGTCTTATGACTATTTACTGACGTGTAACAGAACCCATTGGCTGGCATCTAGCAGCCATACTTATAGGAGACACCTAAATAGGTTTTGGTTTTCAGGTTCTATGTAAAGGCTGAGGTGGGATTGGGAGAAATGGACATATGCTTCTTCTCTTTTGCATGATTGTACTCCTGGAACTTGGATTGGTTTGTTTAATGTAAACAAACCAGACTCCTCAAACTTAACTGTTAATTTTGTTTTCTATAAATGAACAACAAAAAAAACCCAATAAAAACAAATGATCTTCCTTTTCCTGCTTTTCTGTCATAATGGCTGAGTCGTCCTTTACCAAAAAGAAGCTTTTCTCAGCAACATTTTATATAGAAAAGTATATTTCCAGCGGCACACTAGCATGTGTACTTTCTTGGGACTAAATTTACCCCCATTAAGTTTAGGAAAGTATACTTTGAATCTTGAATTTTTAGTTAGTAAACTTACAATATACATGGAAGAACACAAGGTACTGACCCATCAAAAACAAATGTTCAAATATACTAAATCTACTTTCTAATTTTATTCTACTCCACCTTTAAAGGCAAGCAAAAATAAATAACAAAATTTGTGCCAAAATAATGTGACTCAACCAAACAGTTTCAATAACATTTAAACTGCATTGCCAATATTGTGATGGGTATTTAAATAACAGTCCACTGAAAAAGAACTGGAATGTAACCAAATAAACCCTTCATCAAGGTCCAATAGCTGAACATCTTACTAGACTGTGAACCATCTCAGTAGTCTTTCAGTAGTGTTGTAACATTTATTTGTTGGAACACAAATAGACATAAGTCACTGCAATCTGAATATGGCAGTAACCACAGGTGAAGGTGTTGATGATATTCAGGTCAGAAGTCTCTTCTCCAGTGCTAATGGATGTGATGCTCTTCAGCACTGTCCCATTCATCCAAGTTCAAGCCCAATAGTTGGACTTCCATCCTTGTTCCACCCATATGTCCTTCAAATGCACGTTCAGCCGTTATTCCAAAAGAACCGTCTCTGTCTATAAATGGCTGTGACTTAAGACAAAAACACTAATAAATTCATAAGTAACACTCAGATGCCAATTTTATTCCCTTCTACCTGATCATTTTTAAATATTTGTTTCATCCCAGGAGAAAAGAACCAAATATTTTTGTTTTCCACTTCCACGAAAATTTATTTCAAATTGATGTGCATCAGCTTTGACTGACAGGGCTCTCCCTGTGTGTGTGCGTGTGTGTACAGCCACATCTGCAATTAGGATAATATGTCCAGGAGACATGCTCTTTGTCCCATCTACTTTTGTCTTTCCAGCATTAAAGGCAATTACTCAGACATCCATATTTTCCAAAGTAGTTCAGAGCAATACGTTTCCATCTTCACCTCAGGTCTTGTTGAAGAAACAGGTTTGCTGTTTAACATCAGGATGTTTTTTGGTGTGAGGGCTTCTAAATGATCTGGATCATCAGAAACCAATGTGTGAATCTGTCATTCAAAATGACTTTGGCCACACAGAAAACAGTTTGCAATGCATCACAATTCAAGTTCAAATTCAAAAATACTTTATTGATCTCAAAGAGAAATGAAATGTAACTCATTAATTCAGGTCTTCAAAGGGTTATGATGATGGTGAAACATCTCTTGTAGCGGTTTGAATTACAGCAAATCTGTAGACTTATCTATCTTTGAGTACTTCTGTAGACAACAGAGGTCAAACTTGAGCTGGAAGTCTTAAGTGTAGAGTAGTGTGAAAAAGAGTAGTGCGCCTGTGTTGCTGAATTGACACAAAAAACACAAAACTTCCCCCACAAAAAAATACGTAAAAACCCCAAACATTCAGAACATTCGCTTAGTTACACTTTTGTTTTGTTTTTTAATCTCCAGGTTTGTTGTTTATTTTGCAATCATTAAGAACATTAAGAAGTGATCAGCTGAACACTAGCAGTGGTTGATTAGCCAATTTAAATAATTGCTCTAAACTGTTAGAAAAGTTGGTCGCCTTATTTTTGTGTTAACTGATTCTAAACAAGCCATTTTAAATAGCAGTCAAGCATGGGCTGTTAATGCTTTGAACAACCAATCAGACAGGAGAAGGACTTAAGTTGAAGCTGAAACAGCACAACAGCTGTAAATGACTGCACAAGTCATTTACCCTGGTTGCTTCTGAGTAGTAGGGATGCCATATCCACCTTATTTCTAGCCCCCATGAAGCTTTGCGTAATTTATGGGCGAAACTTCTGCCGCAAACCGGAACGCCATGTTAGCAACTCGCTAACCAGCTTGATTTTCGGGTAGTGTTTCTCAAACTTTTTCAGGGTGAGGACCACTAAACCCATTTAACAAATACTCCAATTCCCTCTGCATATTAATATTTGATTCAACCTGAAATGAAAATATTAATCTCTTAACTCCTATACTGTTTTCTTTGGTCATCCTAATGTGAAGAGTGGTCTGCTTGGTAAATGTGACTGGCCACAACAAAGCCACTAACAGGTTTGCTTCGGCATTTTGAGTTATTTACAGATTCTAAAAGTGTCTGAGCTTTCCAATGACATCAAACACATAGAAATAAAAACAATACGTCGTTCTTTACTACCAAGTCTTGTAACATTTAGGGGCATTTGTGATTTAGAAGCACAATTAAAGAAAAATAGACTTGAGTTGCTTTAGCAGAAACAAAAATCCTTTTCTGCACCATTAAACAGAAAAATAATTAACCCTTTTTTATCAGTTGTATTTATTTAATATTTTTTATTTAAATAAAAATAACAATAGTTATTGACCTGAAAGCAGAGCATCATTCATTATCACTCAAAGTCACAAAAAATGAACAGTTCTCACATATTCCATACCATGTGAGAAAACTCAATTAAAAGCTCAAGTTAGATAAAAAGCTAAAGATAGCTTGTGTTTTTAAACGAATGATTAGCAAACAAGCTATAAAATGTTGATCTACAGTATCGGTCCATGTAGTGTCTGAAAAAAAAAAAAGTAAAATATAAATTGGTTAAAAAGCTTCAACTCAAAAATAGGCTATTTTGGTAGCACGATGACTACCAAAACATACTACATGCAGTCCAGAAAATACCCCACGAAGTTAAAATGAGTTAAAATTTTATTGTAATTTTTAAAGGGTGCCATGATGTTTTTCTCTAGCACAATACAATATTAATTTTAGTACATAAAGTTGCTTAAACAGCCTATATGCAAAGTTCTATTAAACAGTTCTTAAAAACGAATGACTTTTCCC